GATTAAAGGGTTTAGATCAATAGTAGAACGAATAAGAAGAATCAAGTAGGCAGAAAGATAAAAGTTTCTCCATTCTAAGAAGAAGGGAGAGTAGCTTTTATGCTTTATATAGGTCTTAATGATTAAGAACCATATCTCAATTGATCCTCTAAGTGAGTCTTAGTACAATTGTATGTTTAAGAAGAGGAATCAAGGATTGAAGAAATGGTTAAATCAAGAAGTCTATCATACTTCGTTCCAATAACAAGTCTTAAAGTTAAGATTGTGACAATGAGTGAAAAGTATTAAAGGTTTATAACATTCATCAAATGTGGAAAGTTGTGATGTCTTGGATAAGACAAAGGCCAACTAGGACCAATTTATGAAGTGTTTTGATAAAAACTACACTAACTCTTGAATATTTGTTGTCAAGAAATGTTTATTGACAAGAGAATCTTATATGTCAAGAGTCAGTGGGAGTCTTAATGGTCTTGAAAGGTTTCAAGAACAAATCAAATAAACCTTATCGATCATCACTAGCACACGAGTTGAGGTTTACAACCTATCGTGTTGACATTATTTTGTTTCTGTGCTGTTCCAATTGAGTTAATTATGCATGTGAGTTCTATGAGTTCTCATTTTGAACGCATAAAAGGCAAGCACCTTAATCAATGAAAGGTACATTGATAGGAAAAGGTGAGCTGCTTAACTACTTGGAAGACGTGGTGGGCAGCTGTGCTACCATAAGGCAAGAAATCAAGATTAAGAAAGTTCGGTCCATATGAGTTTGAATTTGTCGTAAACTTGGTTTTAACAAATTCACATGGATAGGAACAATACACCATTTAAATCTAAGTGTCATAAGATTTCCTCCTTCATGAAAATGATTGTGAGGAAATGCTTTCACTAAGAAAGATTTTAAGAAGATAGTGATTGTAAAATTGCATTCTCGAATTCGATTATGGTTACGGTATCCCTTTCCATAATTTGAATTGTGAGGTTTGGCAATTAGTCTTAATGTTTAGACACACATATGAACTATCTAAAGGCAAAGGTGTATAAGCTTAAGAGGCCTTGATAAAAGATTATCAAAGCATTAAGTATTACATGGACTTAAGAAATTCAATAGGTATTGTTTTCTGAAAGTTAAGATGTTTATGAATACATGTCGAAGCTAGTGGGAGCATAAGTGTTATGTTTTATATATAATCATCATGATAGTGGGAGCATAAATGTTATGATTGTATGATTATTAAGAAAGTATTGCAAGTTGGCAATATTAATTATAGAAAACAAGAGTCATCTTGCAAAGTTGTAAGGATGGAATAGTTGTTTTGCTATAATTAAGGGAGAGAAATTATGCTTCATTTCAAATCTAAAGGATTAGGTTGAGAAATGTTATAAATTTAGTCAAAGGTACATAGTGTGTTCTTAAAATTTCGATTATGATTACGGCATTCCTTTCACAATTCAAATTATGCGAACATAGAGAATAAAACATTATGCGTCGTGTCCCATACGCTTCGGGTATAGGATCGATTTCAAATGCTTTAATATTTGATCATTCTAAAATTTTCCAAATGTCTAGCGCATTTAGAGGGAAAAGGGACTAGAATCGGTTTTGACTAAAATAATTAAACAACTATCAAAGGACAATCCAAAGTTCAACGAGGATTGGTTGCTTGTGAGTAGTTGGAAGCATGGTATTGAATGGACCATATCGACATTATTATGAATAGACAAGAGTCTATTTAGAATGTGTTGTCAAATGGAAATTATGGAAGCGTGTCCATATTAGGAATTGAATATTATAAATCTATGTCTATATTAGAAACTTTTATGCAAAAGGATGTTCAAAGGAATGTACTTTGAGTGAGAGACATCATATCTAAGGAATTGTTTTGTAACAATCTCCAATAGAGGACTTTGTAATATCATTGGCAATAGTCTTTGTCACTTTGGTGCAGTGACATTACGGAAGGATAGTTGCATAGAATGTTACAATCTAGCATATTCTATAACTAGCAAGAATTTGATATTCTTTCACTTATGAAAAAGGATTTGGAGTTGTGAAATGAGAATGATTGGAAATATGTTCAATGTGATCTATTTCACAAAGTAAGAACCATAGGTAAACATTGTGTGCATGCTAAGAGCATGGGACAGGTGTTATAATTCAAGTAAGAAGTTGATTACCCGAAACGACAAATAATGAGTAATCGATATGGTGATAAATAAAAGGAGTTTTATTTATACTCAAAGGGTTGAGGCCATATGTGATTAGTATTATTCTTGTGTTTTACTTTGCATGTTTTGACTTCCAGAATAATTGAGTTTATTAAGAATAATCAAATTATTCAAACGGGCCACAATCGTTCATATGATTGGAAGTAGATATGAATGAAGACTGTCGTGAATTGGTGTGTGGATTGTCTAAAAGAGTATTAGACATAAGCAAATGTTTGCTGCAACGTTCATGAGTGCTTATGAATATGAGTTTGAGCATTGGATTAAACCCACGCTCACTTGGATCACGCCATGGATTGTATCACGAGTGATTGGTGAGACGATAACATCTTATATTCTTGAAACCGAGATGTGTGAGTTGTATCTTGCTAATCGGTTGCACATTGATAATATGAAAACGCACTAGTAACTTGGTGTTATAAAACATATTGTTGTGTGTGATTTGGTTAGTGAGTGCAAGCAAGCATTGTATCAAATTTTATCCGTTCCTTTTATTCAAAGTAGGATAAAAGCGATATCTTTGGGCCCCTCGATGATTTAGTGATGGCAAACGTAAATGCTCGGCCGGGCTAGAGCTAATTTGATTTGTTCAATTAGTCAGTCGTCATAAATTGGAGATCGAGAAATAGTACAAAGAGAATGATTAGAAATCATGTCTTACGATATCTAAAATGGAGGAATATATGATCCATTATCTAAGGACACGCGTATCTGATAGGATCAGAGTTGACAGCGGCTTTGGAAAGCTACGATTGCAGATCATGATCTGAAGTCATACGCATAATAGTTATTAGACTTATCCAAGTGGGAGACTGTTGGATTAGTGTCTAAGTCCATAACTATTTTGGTATGTACTTGACCTGATGGTGCATGGTCCTTTTGGGTTGCCTTCACCAAAGCAACTTGATAGGATGAATTATGGAGAGAAAGGATTAAATATGATTTATTAATATATTATGAGAATAATATATTAAAGGAGAAATCATATTGGTTAATTAATATTAGTCAATAATTAATTAGTAATTAGTTTTGTGACTAAAAGAGATTAATTAAACTTAAGGGACTGGAATTGTAATTATAAGATAATGATAATTTGGGCCATGGATTGCCTTATACTAAGGGGTGGATGAATTATATGGGGGAAGCCCATATGAAATCGTCCAAGGCCTTAATTAGAAGGGTCCATGGGTTTCTAAAGGCTTAAGCATCTAATTTAGGGTTTCCTTGTTAGATAACCCTAATAGCCCAACTATATAAAGACCCCTTAAGGCTCAAAAACGTGGCTAAGCTTCTTGTTAGGGTTTCTACACGTTTTTGGTGGCCTCCAACCTCTCTCATCTTCATCCTCTTGCTTATGGTGTTTGTGAACCATTAGAGGAGTGACACTTGTGACTCTAAGCCTTCCAAAGTCAATTCAAGGAGGAATTGGGATTGTTATTGCTACATAACAATCAAGGTAACATTATAAACTTATTCTTATGGCTAATATGATTATTTGAATGCTAGAATTAGGGTTTATAGTCTTGGATAACTTGCATGTACAATAGAGAAACCTAGATCCGAGCTTTAGGGTTTGTATGAGCACATAGGATGTCTTATGACTAAAACCCATCAGTGGTATCAGAGCCTTGATTGGTTTCTATTGTATTGATGCATATTTGATCGAAATAAGCACTGAAAATTGATTTTTTGAGCTTCTGAGTGTTTGACTCGCCGAGTCACTTGGTGAACTCGCCGAGTCAGCTGTACTCGACGAGTCCAGGTCCAGACTCGATGAGTCAAAGGGTCTGACAGCTCAGATTCGCGATTTTCTTCCTGTTTTGGCTTTGGATAATTACCATAAACTTGTTTTTGTGATAAAATCCAAATTTTTTCAATATTAGGTGATTATCCTTACCTAAATAGAAGATAATTGTTAAAATTTAGATAATCACTTGTTTTATTAGATAAAGTTTGATTATTTGTAATTTAGATTTGAATTATCTTGTGAAAAAGTTTTAATTTTTGCCCTTTAGGTTTTATAGTTTAAATTTGAACCCAAAAGTTTTGTTGTTTTGAAATTTAAATAGTTGAAACCCTAATGTTTTGAAAAAAAAAGGTTCAAAACTTGCCCTCAAGTTTTGGAATTTAAATTTTGATTAATAGTTTAATTCTGATGTATATTTAAATTCTAAACCCTAATGTTTTGAAATGTTTCAAAACTTGCCCTCAAGTTTTGGAATTTAAAAGTTAATTAAAAAGTTTAATTAGGAATGTTAAATTCTAAAAACCCTAGTAATGTTTTGAAAAGTTCAAATCATACCCTTATGGTTTTATTAATTAATTAAGGTGTATAATTAAAAGAAGTTTAATAAATCCATAAAAGTTTAGGTTTACAATTTAATTAAATTAAAAGTATAATTGTTAATTTTGACCTCCTAGTATTTTAAAAGTGTAAAATACACCCTATACTATATATAACATTAAAACTCTATCATTATATATATGTATGAGTAAAAGTCAGTCTTACAGTTAGTAGGCCTCATTCACGAAGCTGGTCTATAAGGGGTGTTTAAGGAAATTGCCTATAAAATGGCGATTGAATGGGTATCCACTCTTACCCACCGCACTCTTGACTAGTGGAGGGTCGTTAGCCGAACGGGTAGGATAAGACGAAACCTTCCATTATAAGTATAATGAAATACAAAGTAACTAAATGTTTTACAAATTCCCAATCTTAGTTACTAGGTAAAGTGAATTGATGCAATTACATAAAATTACACTTTGTGCCTTTGCAAAGAGGTTTTTGAGTTTTTGGGCAACAGCAAATTCGACCTGAGGTTTTTGGGTTTTGTTTTTATTTTTGGGTGGGGGTTGGGCACTTTTCTTCTTGTTTAATGGGCAGAGTAATTTAAGCACTCCAATTGGCGAACCACCACAAACCTCTTATATCATCACCATCTCCGAGAACCCATTAATGGCTTCGCCCCCTTCTCTCTAACGTGGATTGAAGCATATATACTCCAAACTCATCATTTTCTTCTTTATGGGTTATGACTTATGAGTGTCCTGTTCAGTCGTTTTGATCTTTTTCGACTCCTGTCTCTGGTACTATCTATTCTCTTTCTATATTTAATGTCTCTTTTTCATGTGGCTATGTATAGAGCTAGCTAATTAAGTATATCGATTTTTTTTCTTTGAGGCTTTATACCAAACAGTGTTCGTGCATTCTTCTTCTTCTCAAAATTTAGTTTGTTATCATGGTAGTTCATAATGGGGAATTAAGTTCCTCTTTTTTTTTTTTTTTTTTTTTCTTCATTTCAATGCTTTTAGCTTTTCGCTGCTCTGCTAGTTTCAACGATGGCTATTTTGTTTTTGTTATCCTCAACGTGTGTTTTCCTGTAATTATATTCCATATATCATTTACTGTTCCTCTTGATTTATATTCTTCCACTTTTCTTTTTTGTTTTTTCTAAATTATTGTTACTGAAGTTTGATTCTGTTCAAATAATTTCCCCAAAAGATGTCCTATATGACAACAAGATATGATCTTGTATTCATTGATAACTGAACAAACGTTATTTAAATGATTGCTTCTCTTTGATTCTCTAAAAGATAACCACGTTTTATGTCAATTTCTTGGTTATTCTTTAAGTTTTATGTACCTAATCATCCTAATTAATCATCGATTACTCTATTCCTCTTGCCAATTGAAGGAAAGAAAGCAATCAATCAGATCATGTCGAAAGGAAAGGAAAGGGTGACGGAAGAATCAGACGAACATGATAACGAAAAAGATGGTGAATCCTACGTTCCAGATAATCAAAACTCACTAGAACTCGGACTCGATTCGGCTTCCAGTTCATCGGAGAAACCCCAGGATGCAGATTACTCTACTTACATTCCTTCACTGAGTTACGAGTTAGAGGGTTTAATCTTAGCCCGATCACCAAGGTCCGAATATTGGAAAATATCCTTCGCCAACAAAAGATTTGCAAGCTTAGTAAAATCCGGCGAGCTTTTCAAAATCAGGAGAAACATCGGTTTCATCGAGCCATCAGTTTTAATGCTCGCAAGCGGCGAGAACTGCTGGTGGGGTTTCGATCAAGGGTTTAGTTCCCGCAGAAGGCTTCCCGTTCTTCCATCTGACATATGTTTTGCTTCAGGAGACAAAGAATCACTATGTGCTGGGACCCATTTACTCGTATCGGGTCGAGAACTTGAAGGTTTAATGATTTGGAGATACGAATTAGCCATGAACAAATGGTACAAAGGCCCTTCAATGATCTACCCTAGATGCTTATTTGCCTCCGCCACTTGCGGGAACTCCGCTTACGTGGCAGGCGGGATTGCGGTGGTTGGTGATGGCATGAGTGGGACCCACATCATCCATAACACGGTTGAGAAGTACGACCCGGAAACCCGCTCGTGGACCCCACTCCCCAGAATGAATAGACCCCGGAAGCTTTGCTCCGGGTGTTACATGGACGATAGGTTTTATGTGATTGGTGGGAGGACCGCGAATGAGGAGCTAACATGTGGCGAGTTTTTCGACGAGGAAAAGAACGAATGGACTTTGATCCCGGAGATGTTAAAAGACAATCCTGTCCTTAGTTGTCATTCTCCTCCATTAATTGCGGTGGTGAATAACGAGCTTTATTCGATTGAAGCTTCTTCGAATCAGTTGAAAGTTTACTTAAAGGGTAGTAACAGTTGGAAGCGGTTGGGTTTGGTTCCTGTGAGGGCGGATTATAATCGGGGTTGGGGAGTGGCGTTTAAGTCATTTGGCGATAAGTTGTTGGTGATAGGGGCTTCAACTGTTTCGTCTTCTAGAAGCTCGATGGCTATTTATACGTGTAACCCGGACCCGAGATCCGATGGGTTGCCGAATTGGGAGCTACTTGATAATGGCAGGATTCAGTTGAGTCATTTTATTATGAATTGTTGTGTGATGGTAGCTTGAGAAGAGGTGTTGTGTGATTAGTGTCTAAATAAGAAGAGTTGACTTTTTATAGTCAAACATGGTTGTATTTTGGTGCTATTTCCTAACTCTGCATAATGGGTTAACGTTTTAACTTTAAGTGTACAGAAGTGCTTTTAAGATGCATAGAGCACTTGACAAACTATCTACTAAAAGTTGCCAAGTTGTATGTACTTTTTTTTTTTTTTAAGGTTTTATTTTAGTAAAAACAGTTTCAAAATTAATATACAAGAGCTTTAGCTTATAATTTTTATAATCGAATAAAACTTAAGCTTTATTTTTACTAATCCGTCTTTTATTTTATCATTAACTTACGTCTTTTAAAATAAAACGGATAAAAAATAAGTTTTTTTACATGTAGTATGCTGTTTTAAATACACAACTCATAATTCTTTTTTAAATTGTTCTAGTAAACCATATAGAATTTTCTATGAAAACAGAATACAACTATAAAAATAACTGTTTTAATTTATTAAATTTAATATACCATTAAACAAGAAAAATTAAATATCCTCTTACCATTTGTTCATATTTTTCCTCTTACCATATCAAATATCAAATGTTGATAAGTATCACATTTAATTAGACATTTAATGAAATTAATAATCATTTAATACACTTGTCAACATTTGATATGATAGGAATATTTAATTTCTCATTAAACAAAACTAATATATTTTGTAAAAGACATATCAGATGGCAGATTCTATATAACCAAATAAAAGGTTTTTAATTATGGTATCTAAAAATGAATATGACGACCCAACGCCTTACCAGCCCAGTAAAAACATATAAACAGCCCGATAAAAGCTACAAAGTAAAAAAATAAAAATAAAAATAAATAATAGGTTCGTCACCCAATTCAAAATACCAAACCCATATTAGACTCCAGACTCCAGAAGGAAGCGAAAGGGCGAGAAGCAAAAGAAGCCACAAAACTCTGCACCTTGACGCTTGATAACGAAACTAAAATCTGGCTACTACAGGAGCTGCGAAGGGCTCCGCGCTTTCATCATGTAAGCATGACTAGCAGATGTTATATGCATTTTCATGGTTGAATTTTGTATGATTTTCTCCAAGTTTCACGTGATCTTTTTGCACCATAAATATTTTGCTCAAATTTCCTATTTTGTATTTCATACGTCAACAGTTCTCTCTTGTTTAGGTAAGTTTGTGTATCAATTTATGGCGATGATTTTAACCTAATTTCAGCATTGCATGCGCATTCTGAAATTCCGTTCCTGGCTTGCAATCTAGATTTTTCATGCATTTTGAGCCAGCATTGTAAGAATTAGGGCTACATTCTGTGTGAAGCATGTCCGCGAACAACAATAATCCGCTAAAGAACTCTCCTTTTGGACATTCTATACCACCAAACCCTACTGCGCATCTACAGTCGCATACACAGTCCCAAACTCAACGACCCTCTGGATCTCCCTTCACGAATCAATTTCAGGTTTCCCAGTTCGCTGCGACCCATGCCCAAGCCATTGCTCAAGCCCAGTCAAAAGTTCAGGCTAAAGCTGCAGCTCAAGCTCAGGCCAACCATGCCCAATTCCAAGCCCAGCTCCAAGCTCAAGGGCTAGCACCTAGCCAATCCCATGGATCTTTGGTTACTAATTCACCCTCTTTTCCATCAGCCATTGCAAGCACAAAACGAATGCCTCAAAAACAAATCGGAAGGCCACCTGGAGTGTCAAATCCTAATTCCATTTCCCCCATGAGGACAATGGAACTTACACCAGCCCCACGTAACAAAAAGAAGCAGAAACTTTCAGGGAAACAGTTACAAGAAAGAGTGGCAGCAATTCTCCCACAATCTGCTCTATACACTCAGCTTCTTGAGTTTGAGTCGCGTGTTGATGCTGCTTTAGTGAGAAAGAAGATAGACATCCAAGAAGCGATCAAAAACCCACCTTGCATTCAGAAAACCCTTCGAATCTATGTTTTTAACACATTCTCTAATCAAATTCATACGATTCCCAAGAAGCCAAACACCGAGCAGCCTACGTGGACAATGAAGATAATAGGAAGAATACTGGAAGAGGGAATGGATCCTGATCAAGCTGGATTGATTTCAAAGCCAAACCCCATTTACCCAAAGTTTTCATCTTTCTTCAAAAGAGTTACTATTTCATTGGACCAAAGACTGTATCCTGATAACCATATGATAGTGTGGGATAGTTCTAGAACACCAACACCTCATGAAGGGTTTGAAGTCAAGAGAAAAGGCGATAAAGAGTTCATGGTGAATATACGTTTGGAAATGAATTACACGCCTGAAAAATTTAAGCTTTCGGATCCTCTAATGGAAATTCTTGGAATTGAAGTTGATACCCGACCAAGAATTATAGCTGCAATCTGGCAATATGTCAAGGCTAGAAAGTTACAGGATACAGATTCTCCTTCCTACTTTAATTGTGATCCACCCCTTCAGAAAATATTCGGGGAAGAAAAAATGAAATTTTCCAATGTCTCACAGAAGATTTCAACCCATTTATCCCCACCACAACCTATACATTTGGAACATAAAATCAAGCTATCAGGAAACAATCCAGCTGGAAATGCATGTTATGATGTAGTGGTGGATGTCCCTTTTCCAGTACAAAAGGAATTGAATGCTTTGTTAGCTAACACTGAGAAAACCAAAGAGATTGAAGCTTGTAATGAAGCAATATGTTCAACAGTACGAAAGATAAACGAGCATCGAAAAAGACGAGCTTTTTTTCTTGGATTTAGTCAATCACCCGTTGAATTTATTGATGCTTTGATTGAATCTCAAGGCAAAGATCTAAAGTTTCTTGCAGGGGAAGTAAGCCGTAGTGATGAAAGAGAGCAACGGGCTGATTTCTATAACCAACCCTGGTAATTTCACCATCTGTGTGTGTTAATTTTCACTGATGTGATGGGTTTAAAATCTAATGGAATTATCTTTTGGTAAATGTGTAGGGTTGAAGATGCAGTTATTCGTTACCTAAATCGCAAACCAGCTACAAAGCCCATGGAAGCACATAATTAGTAGTGTGGGAATAAAGGTAGTTTCTTTTGAATTTACTTATGAAGGTTTTCTTTTGGTATTGATATGGATAAATAGACAGAGGTGTAGCTGCATTTTTCCAAGTTCAAACCTCTGTAGTTCGGGTTATATCTTGTTTTCTAGCTTAGAATGTAGTGTAGGGTTTCCACTCTTCTGTCAAAATATGAATATTTATGAAAGTTAAATATTCTACTTGCTTTCAAGATCTTCGTATATGATTTTTTTTTTTTCCTTTTCTTTTGAATTGTCATGGGTTTGAAAGGTGACTTTTTATAAGAGTCTAGGGTTATGACAATTTTAAAACTCTAGATATGTGTGCCAAAATAGGTGGGTTAGAAACTTAGAATGCTATAATTAGATAGATTTTTCATAGTACATTGTGTTCTTTTTAGCATTTAGACCTTAAATATAGTCTCGATCTTTATGGATGTACACATTTATATATACTTTTAAGTGAATTTAAAAAAAGGGTAAAGTAGCCCACGTCAATTCGTCCAAATGTCTCGTAAAAAACACTAGCAATATTTGGAGTGTGTTCAACCATTAAGCTTCCAACGCTTGTTACAAATGATTTATAAATTGTGTGATTTGTCTTTCGTGTTAACCAAATTTTTTATTTTACATATTGAAATCTTATTATTAAGTTATAATTCAAATTGATTTTTTTTATATGATTGTTTTAAAGTTTCTTTTGTAACTCTGATGTATAATTGCTTGCTAGTCACTAGCCACTACACCTTTATTCGTCACCTGTGATTTAACCTTACCTTGTAAAAGTTAGATGTTACATGAGTCGTGTGTTGTTTGTAGTTGTTTGGTCAAATTGAAATTAAGAATAAATAACTTAAATGTAAAAGCAAACAAAAAGTTAGGTCCAAAACCAAATAAAATGGGATATAGATATCCAAAACTACGGGTAGATGCGTGAATAGTCTTATATTCTTTCAATTAATAGTCTTTGATATGATCCAATCATTACCTAACTCATCTTTCAAAAAGTCAAAAGTCAAAACATAAAAGTAGGTGGATAACGATCACCCATTGACGTGGTCAATTCTGGTGAACCAATCGGTTAGTAAATGGGCTTGTGGGCGTTTGAATTCGAGGCTTTGGAATGCTTAGTAAGATTTCAATATTTAAATATCACAATCACACAGCATATAATTAAATAGTAGTTGGTAGAACGTACAGACTGATTAAAAAACTGTACATATAAAGATAAAGTAAATATAAAGATAAATATTAAATATTAAATATTTTTAAAGTAAAATTTCAAAATAACTACAATAAATAAATATTTCTATAATGAAAACTATTGATATATTTTAAAAGAAATGTAAGTACTCAACATTAATAAATATTTCTATAATGAAAACTATTGATATATTTTAAAAGAAATGAGGAATAAATAAGTACTCAACATTAGATGCCTTACTCATAAGTTTATTATCATTATCTAAAATTAATATTTTTATTTCATATTTATTTTTAACTTTGGGCAATACAACATACAATTATTCATGAGTGAACGCTATTCTTCTCAAAAACTCCAGAATTTCAAGAACAAATTCGAAATCCGGTGAATAATTTCGGATTTTCGAGCAAAGATTTCATTTTTTACTTACATTTGAGAAAAAGTTAAACAAATATAGCAAATGTGAACTATATATAATCTTAGGGCATGCAATGATATATTAAATTGAAGAATAGTGACATCAAACACTTTCAAATGAACATTTCAGACATAATTAAATAAATTTATTTGGAAAAGAAATTGAAAAACAAAAACAAAAAAGAACTAAATTTGAAAATCAAATCTGGAACAAGACATTTGGGAGTATGTGGTCATTTTTCAAAAACCAAAAAATAGTTATATTATTTATAATGCTCATTTATAATGGTTAGTTTGCTCAATATCCTTTTTTTTAAAATACGACAAATTAGATATTAACAATTTTCCATTTCACCTATATCTAAATCTAATAGCATGTTTCCTTTTGGAGCAATGAAGGTAGTTTAAAATTAAAACCAAATTAAAAAATATACTCTAAAAATATTATTTTTGTCACATGTCATACTTTCATTCATTTTGTCGCATGTCATTTTATGGTAATAGTAGTTTACAACTCTTAAAATGTTACAAAAGTAAACATGTTATAACTCGATATACATTATAGTAAATTATGTCATTAAACTGATTTTTTATACATTATAGTAAATTATGTCATTAAACTGATTTTTTTTAGAACAACAAGAAATCTTGTTAGAAAAACAAACTAGCAAGATGCAAGAAAACTACAAATTATAAGAGTACAAGGAGAGCAGCATAATACATACCAATTTAAACTAGACCACCTACCCCTATATTTAATTTAATTAAAAACTAAAACTTAAATATCATACATTACTTTTTCCAGAGAACACTTTGAATTCTTAAAAATAGTCGTATTTCTCGTCTTCCAAGTGCTTCATAACATGGTAAATGTGAAAACAAGTTTGAGCTTAACTAATTGCTTATTCACTCTTTCCTCTTTAATCAACCTCTTAAGATGCATCAGATTATTTAGGCAAGTTGGAGGCACCACTCCAAGAACATAGCTAACCCCAAATCTCCCGAGTAAACCAACAATTAAAGAACATATGATCAATATTATATTCATCCAAATTGCAGATTGTGCATAAGATAGAAGAGACATTCAAACCTCTCAAAATAAGATTTGAGACGAGGAATTCGGCACTTGAAAAGCCTCCAAGCAAAGCATGAAACTTTTAAAGGGGCCCAGTTGCACCAAATAAATCCACTAACGTCAGAATCCACCCCTGTTCCAGCCATAGTCTTCCTTAGATCATGAACCAATAAGCTTGAGGAACTGCCTCCCTTCCAGCACCACCTGTCTTGAGTCCTCGAAAGGCAAAGACCATCCAGAACCTGCAATGGGGAAGAGAATTCATTGCTCTAAGTTGTCTCTTCCAATCCTACGTGAATTGGTCCTCCAAATTCATCTCCCACAATACCAAGACCTCCATCATACTTAGGTTGAAGAATGTTGGACCAAGCAACCCAACAAATCTTCCTCTTATCCATATTTTTATCCCAACAAAAACGCCTTCTCAAACTCTCCAACTCATCGACAATCTTCTTAGGAGCTCTAAAAATTGAAAAATAGCAAATATATTAGCTCCCAAGCACCGCTTTAGCAAGCATTAATCTATCGCTAAA